TAGTGATCAGCATAGGGCAATTTAAGACAATCAATACGCTTAACATAATTACAACAAAATTAGTACGCAACAGTGTTACGGGACGTCGGCCCACTTCCGCTCAGACTCACCAGTCCAGTGTAGATACACAACCAAACCAACGTCCTTTTTCGGGGGTCGTTTCTACACATTCTCTCTCTCTAAAGGGGTAGTGTCCTCCCTTTTTCTTCTCTCGCTACTGTCTAGCAGGCTTGTTCCTTCCTACTCTCTCTCTCTCTCTTTCTCTCTCTCTCTCTCTCTCAAAATCAATTTTCCCACATCATGGACTGAGGTATCAAGGCATCCAATTCGTCATCCTCTTCCTGCACAGCCGAAGGGCCTCTCTCTCTCAAAATCAATTTTCCCAGTTCATGGACAGAGGTATCAAGGCATCCAATTCGTCATCCTCTTCCTGCACAGCTGAAGGCCTCCCTCCCTCCCACAAAGGCCCAACCCAACCATTCCTCTTGCATCTTCCTCTCTCAAAATCAAATTTCCCACATCATGGACTGAGGCATCAAGGCATTCAATTCGTCATCCTCTTCCTGCACAGCTGAAGGGCCTCCCTCCCTCCCTCAACGGCAATGAAAAACCCCAACCCAACCATTCCTCTTGCATCTTCCTCAGGCAATGAAAACCCCAACCTAACCATTCCTCTTGCATCTTCCTCTTCCAATCCTCCATTTGCACCCTCGTCCTTCTTTTACAGAGAAAAGCCTCAATCTTCTGCAATCTTAGATAGAAGAGACTGCAGTCTTAGAGAGAACAGAGAAAGCAGTTGGTGCTGAATGAGAAGCTAAGAGAGAGGTAAGAGATTTCAGGGAAATCGAGGGCAACGGGTGGTGGTCGTGGAGTATAGTGTGCTACGTTTATTATAGGAGGTTTCTTTTCCTAATTTTTTTTCCTATTATTATTAGATTTTTTTTTTTTATAGGAGTACAGTCCTCATCTGAGTCCACCCAGACACAGCTGAGTAAACTTGGCTAGGGCCAGGGCCGAGTACTGCACCTGAGCCAATTTCGAAAACACTTGTTTGCACATTCATATACTGCAAATAATTAATTTGTAGAAAGAATCACACCAGCACATGTCAACACAAGTAAAATGTGCTCTGCTAGCTTTATTATTCATGTGAAGTCACAGAGAAGTTAATGTCTGAATACTTATTATATTTATACAAATAATGGCATTCAATAGGGGGAAAATAGAAATCATGGATAAGAACCACAAAAAAGATAGGAATTTAAAGATGAATGTCCATAGAAGCCAACTGCAAAGTGCACATCAAAAAGCAAATATTCCACAACATGCATTACAGATGGAAATGAATCAATATTTACCTAGTAAATGAAAATACCAGCAAAATGTTAAATACAACAAAATGGCTGCACATAGTTTCAAAAAATTACTTTCTCAATCCATGAATATGTATTTAGTATAGCATGAATCATAGAAACAAGTTGTTAAGATCTTAAGATTGATAGAATTACTGAATAATAGTGATTTGCAGTCATCAGTGAGATTATGGAAGTACCTTGTTAAAATCGACATGTGGTGGCCAGAAAGTAATAAACTTGTAGAAGTAATCAAACATCTCAACTGATGTACTAAAACCTTTTGGTCCCAAACTAACTGGACCAGAGACCTTCTGATTATTATTTTCATCAGTCGCCTTTATGACACCTTCATCACCTTCCTCTGTTTCTCTAGCATCGACTTCTTCTTCCTTTTCATTCTCTTCTCTCTCTCCACCACCATCACCCTCTTCTTCCTTTTCATTCTCTTCTCTCTCTCCACCACCATCACCCTCTTCTTCCTTTTCATTCTCTTCTCTCTCTCCACCACCATCACCCTCTTCTTCCTTTTCATTCTCTTCTCTCTCTCCACCACCATCACCCTCTTCTTCCTTTTCTTCTGTCATTGATTTCTCCAGCCTTTCCTCCTCCACTGACTTCTCGGCCTTCTGCTTTTTTGAAGCTCCATTCTCCTCAGCTGCCTCTCCTTCTCCATCTCTGGTTCTCTTCGAAGTTAGGGTTGATGGTTCCATGGATTTATCATCCTTGTTACCTTCTTCTCCGTTCTTTTCAGAGGGATGAGGGTTTTCAGAGAGATCCGGCTCAATATCCATGTCCAATGATTGAGGAGCTTCTGCTCGTGCTTCAGTTGAGTGATCGTCTCCATTTACAGGTGTAGAGCCATTTTGAGGAAGATCAGCTTCTTCTGCCATTGATGCACTAGAGCAAAGAAGCGTCGAAGAATTTAACACCCTGGAAATCAGAAAAGAGAGCTAAATTTCTTTGTCATGGCTTTTTAAAAGGACGAGGTTTTTATGAGTCCTAGGACCCCTCTTCAGGATCCACTCCTGGACCTAATTTTTGAAGTATATATAATATTTGAATACAAGTCACAAAAGTTTTAAAAAGCTAACAATAATATTTTTTTTTTTGAGGAAAATTTTTTAGGCCATTGATATCTATATTTATTGGAGCAGAGGGCGTTGAATGATCTAGTTATGTAATCTAGTTATATACAATATAATGAGCGCCTTAGGGAGAAGTACAACAAGTGCATGGATCTCAACCCATTTTGATTGTATGAACCTGATGGTAACGGTCTAAGTGGGTGGACTATGTGAGGATCTCACATGTTGAGCTAGCTGTAGGGGCTAAAGAAGTATGGACTAATACTAGTACACAAAAGAGAAAAGCTGGGTCCAGTCGCATATAAGTTCTAGAGGTCGAGGAGGAGGCCAACTTAGAGGAGACCGAGGAAGAGGAAGCCGATGCTGATGATTCCTCACACTCAGTTGCTAGAGATGCACATGCACATGAATGTATTTTCTTTGGCGTTTGTAACTTTAAAGTTTGCAACTCCAATTATGGTTTCTAGATTATGAATGATGTATGTCTTCCAATGTCTTCTATAAAGTTAGTTTCAAGTTTCTACTTCTAATATCCTGATAGTATCAGGGGATTTGGAATCTTCGTAGCTGATAATATTGGAGTTAATGAATAAATTTAATACCTACTATTACATAATCAACTCCTTTATTTTTTTCCTACGCATTAACCTATTTTTTGACATTTTATGAAATTTTCTATATTTATTGACCGCATCGGGGTGATGCGCCCACATCTAGAACACATAGAGTCGCATCACCACATAATTCCTGGTTTTTAAAACGTCGGTCTTGGGTTCTATTTGTGCACTTTATTATTAAAAAAAAAAAAAATCGGGTTTTCTTTCTTTTGGAGTTTATGAGCTTAAATTTTGATTCAAAGATTTCTAAATGCTAATGAGGTAAGAATAGAACCAAAGACTTCATATTGTGACACCCCACCACCCTAGCCATTTAGGTGTTGCATATGATCTTATTGCTTTTTGTGTTTTCTCATTCAAGTGAATTAGTTCAAACATCCAATGTTCAAACCAATCGTCCTTCAAGAAGATGGGCATCCAATGTTCAAACCAATCATCCTTCAAGAAGAAGGGTTAAAGTTCAAGCATGAAAGTTAGCTACATTTTTTTTTTTTTGGGTGAAGGACATGCTTGGACGTACAGTTCCCTAACCAGCCCATTAACAAAGCTTTCCACTAGAAACAAAAGACACCCTCTCGGGCATTGAATTTCCAAATTGGAGGGAAAATGGGAATAAGAAATCACAAATGATATGGAAACTGAATGAAAAATACAAAAATAGAAGATTGTTTTTAAATTCTCAAATTAACGTAGATTTTGAATTACATCTCCACACACACAAAAAAAAGCCACGCATTTGGAAAATGTGGACACAAAAAAACGACATCATGTATAATAATTGAAAAATGTTGATATGCAAAACAATAATATAAATGTGAAAACAACATTATGTATAATAATTGAAAAATGTTGATATGAAAAACAATAATATAAATGTGTTATAATTGGAAAATGTGTTTAATTCTATCTCTTCTCTATCTTCCCTCTCTCTTCCTCTATCTGCTCCATGCTTTCTAATTTCTTAAATACTGCATCTGTTGTATTTCTGAGCACCCAAATTGTGGGCTGCCGTCTTTTCTTATTCGGTTTATGTATCTACAATTTTTTTCTCTTTCAATACAAGTTAACCTTTACATCAAAAAATACAATACTCATTAGGAAGTTGTGAGTTAATGAAATAAATGGAGTTGAGAGATCAAGCACCAAAAACCCTTATATGATATTGGCAACAGGGAAAAGAGGCAATCATACAATAAAATGATCACCTTGGCAAAGTTGGCTTTAAGGGACTTAACTATATACCCTATTAAATATTTTTCTTGAAATACATTCCCTATAGAACATTAGAAGTCATTAAAAAAAGATTTGTTCATTTTCCATTTCACTCACATAGCTACTCAAAAAATATATTTCGTATACTTAAATTGCCCTTGTAAACTTTAAATTATCCTGTATTATTGTTTACAGCACGGTTGGCTTGGGTGAAACGTGAAAAAATTCCCTCATGTGGTTAGGTGTGGAAATATTTTCACACCATCATCAGCATAGCCTTTTCCCAATTAATTGGGGTCGGCTACACGAATCTTAGTCGCCCATTTTGCTCTATTAAAGGACATACCCTCAGTAAGGCCATAAGTCCCCATATCTTTTCGAAAATATTTTCGCACCAATTAGTCCAAATTGATGTGAAAAGATGCACTAGGACCAATTGGTGGAAACATATTCCCGCACCTAACCGCATGAGCGAATTCTTTCACCTAAAAATATTTCCCATAAAATATTTTCATGTGAAACAAGCGTGCCTAGATTGATAAGGCTCCGCCTAAAAGAAATTCCAACTACTAGGATATGTCTAATTTAACTATTCCAATGGGTGGCATGTCTAGGAACCAAATGATAGACCATTCCCATGAGTATTATACAAGATGGGTGTGTTCTATATAAAGCACGCACCATAAATAAATAATCAAAGTGCACCTTCAAACTGAAGACAATTTTAAGAACTTAAAAATCTTGAAAATGAACGTTCCAAACAATGGATTCCAAGATATACTATTTTTTTGACTTAGAAATCCTTTTGTTTCACAATCATAAGCATCAGAGAAATACATTTTGGTTGGTTTCTGAGGTAACCCTACTTTCACAATATAAGATTGACACCTCATATAAGGTTTTTCCATGCAAAATTATCGGTGATTATTTCATATAGAGTTTCGGTGCTTCATACCTAAAACTTTGTTGTGCAAAATGCCTTTATCTCAGCTTTCTCTCGCCGAAGGCCTCTATCTCCTAAGATGTATCTCAATTGGTTCCGATATATTGGGTTCTTTCCCAGAATCCATACATATTTGTTATCTTGTGTTGCACATGTAATTACAACTGAAAGTACAAGCATCGCTAACAATTACATCTGAAAGTACAAGTATATTGCATAAATCCATCTTTCATATTTTACTTTGATAATTTACAAATAACAAATAAAATTTGCTAAATGATAGCAGATATCTTAACTTTACACAAAAAACAAGATAAATACCTTTTAAAAAAAATTGAATGGTAGCAATTGACAGAAACTTCACTAATATCTAAATATGAGGGACCAAGAGCCTTGTTGGTTTTAGCATACCAGAAAATTTAGGGCAGGCAACAGTCTACAAACCTATAAAGAAAGTTGGATATAGAGCAAAAAATGAATTAGGGCGGCGCAGCTGGTAAAAGTGAATTTAGATTTAGAATACCAAAAAGAATAGGATTGACAACTAGCCACCCTAGAACCGGCAAGCCGGGCTTGGGCCAACCGCTGCTCATACAGGCCGCCTGCACTCAAAAAGGCGGTTGGTCCAAGCCTAATGCACTCCAGTAGAGAAAAATAAGGAAAAACCTCGTCTGGGCAGGGCAAGGCACTCAGGAGGCAGCACAGGCAGTTTGTCCTAGTTTTTTTAAAACTCTTGGCCTTCCAAAACATAATAGAAGTAAAGGAAAAATGAAAAGGTAATTCAGAAAAGCAATATAAATAATGGAAAAATAGAAGAGTAATTCAGAAAAATCGATAAAATAAAAGAAAATTGGAAAGGCAATTCACAGGTAGAGAGAGGTCAGATTCATTAAAAGAGAGATATATTCATCAAAAGTGTATCTCTATTCATCAAAAGTGTAGAAAGAGAAATTCAACAAGATAGAGAGAGAGAGAGAGAGAGAGAGATTCAGAGTTAAAGAAATTCATAAAGAGAGAAATTTATCTAAGAAAGAGAAATTCATGGACAGAGCCAGAAAAACCCTCAAAGAGAGAGGTGTGGGTTGAAATCAGTAGTCAAAGGGGCATTCTGAGCCCTTTATTTGTGGATCCAAACCCTACGGTTGTCTGGACGGGACGGTTCCATTGAAATTGCATTCCGTTCAAAACGCAATGCAATGGATTTCTATTCGAGCACCATTTTCAAAGTCAAATCCAACCAAGAAATGGATCAGGCCTTGTGCAAATCAAACGATACTGAAAATATGAGATTAATATATCAAAGATTTAAAAAAACGACGATAAGAAAACCATATTTCTATTGAATCAAGGCTACCATCTCCTTTCAATACACTAAAGCTAAAGAAGAAAACGATCACTGTCGTTCAAACATCAGAAGAAATGAAGCAACTACAAGGACTGAACACTAGAAATGAAGCAACTACAAGGACTGAACACTAGATAATATAGAAAATGAATGGAGATAGAGAGACACCTCTTATGGAACCGATCAACCAACAATGGGCGTGAATTGCAGGGCTAAGCCTTTCGAGAAAGGGAAAGGGGGTTGGGGGTTTTAGCATTTCTATGTGTTACACAACGGCTGAGATGGAGAGGGATGGGTGATCTACGGTTGAGCCGATACTACTTCTTCCCAATTCTTACTAATATGCTATCGCCATCCAATCAAGAGTTGACGGTGATGGCGAACTAGCCTTCCCATTGTGTTCGTTTCGCATAAATGACGAAATTACCCTGACCGGCAGTCTCTCTGCTGCGTTAGGACAAATACACTCATATTGCTCCATCGCCGAGCATAAAACGAATTTCGGTGGCTTTGGCTCTGGCCTTGGTATTTCCATTTTTGTGAGATTGTATATTACAAAACCAATATATAATCTTTGGCACAACGAAGTGCAGCGATTAAGATCATAAATCTCACATTTTACTTTTTTTTAATGCTTCAATACTCTATTTCAATGGATAGTTAAAGATGGATTTATAGTCGCTCGACGTCCCCCACCCCGCCATCTGTTTCTCTCGCACTTCACTCTAAAACACTCCTTCTTCTTCTTCTTCTGCTTCTTCTTCTTCTTTAAAAAGATTTGAAACAGGCAGGAATCGAAAGTGAATTCAGAAAAAGAAAACCAACGTCTAAAGTAAGGTCGCATTCCTCCTTCCCCACTTAGAAGCTTTCTGGTCTATGCAGAGAGAAAGAGAGATATGAGAGGCTTGTGGATAAAAGGAGGAATTAAGCGCCACCACCCATGTTTTCCTCCTGTAATAAAAAATGGTGGTTCTCTTTCTCCCTCCCTCAAATCGTTCAACAATTTGGTCCCTCAATTCCGTCCTCCCATATTGGGCTTCGACCTTCCCGAGATATGGAAGCCTCTTCACACGCCTTCTCTCTCCTCTCACTACAAACAGCAACAACAAGGTATTCAATCAAGCAATAACTTTGTTAATCTTCATTTCCTTCTCATCTCTCTAGACCCACTGAGCTCTTCTTTCTTTTTGCCCATTCTGTGGTCTCTCTCTCTCTAGAGCACCACAAAATTAGTGGGTTTTCATTTTTGCTCTTCATCTCTCTAGGAAATACTAGTTATTTGCTCCTCTAACAGATGATTTATATCTATGCATTATTCCCTAATGGCTGCTTCTGTGAAATTTGGTGAAAAGCGTCGAAAACTACAGAAACGTAAAGAAATAATATACTGTTTGCTGATATTATTCTATATTTTCCTTTCAAACGTGAATACTCCAATGCATATCTTCAATCACTTGGTGTAAATTCTCAATTTAGAGCTACTGATGGTTTCATTGGGAACCCAATTATAATTTTCTGTATTTTTTCTGTTTGAAGCTGCAAACTAGCAGTCATCAATGGAGTCTGAGTGTTTTATCCTCCACCATTGGAGTTTTTTCGGCTTAACCAAATAGTATGCTTAATTAGAAAATTTCAGATTCCACTTTTATTTTCTAAAACACCTAGAAGTTAATCATCACTGAGTTTAATACGCTACTTATTTGCCTGACGCGTGAATTCTTTTTTGTTGGGGTTTACAGTGTCGAATGAGCCTATTGCAACCGTAATTGATGGGAAGTCTATCGCAGAGGAAATAAGAAGAGAAATAGCTATTGAGGTTAGAAAAATGTACGTTTCCATTGGCAAAGTCCCTGGTTTGGCTGTGATTTTGGTCGGATCAAGGAAGGATTCTGTAACCTACGTCTGCTGCAAGGAGAAGGCTTGTCATGAAGTTGGAATCACTTCTATCTGTTCACGATTGCCTGAAGATTCCTCTGAAGATGATGTGCTTAGAGCCGTTTCAATATTTAATGAGGACCCATCAATTCATGGTATTCTAGTGCAGCTTCCCCTACCACATGTAGGTTTTCAAAGTTCTTGCAATCATTTATATTTCAGTTACCTCTTTAATCAATCCCTACTAGTAAAATATTAACATATGCCTACTAAGAAAGAAATGCATTCATGAGTACATGACTCCGTATTTTCTAGTTGATGCTAGCTAAATTAATGTGGTGATGTTATTTTTATGGGGTCTGAGTTAAATTCTTTCTGCAAATAAGCCGATCATTCATTATCATGTTATAATGGACAGTATACAAATAATTATAGCTAGTACTTCTTGACAATTATTATTCATCGTTATTTATTCGATTTAGTATGATTCACTAAATTCTTTTTTTTTGGGGTACGCGACTGACTAAATTCAATGCTAGATGGCTGATTTTGTCCACACACACACCAAAAAAAGCTCTTAGATAGTTGAAGCAACTACTTATTGCAAAGTCGTTACTGAAGGAAGTTACAACAATTACAAACTCTTGAATGGTATAAAATCATCAGCAGTTGTTGCTTCTCACATTGTCAATTGCGGTTTGCTTGTTTGATAACCTGCATCAGTATCTGTCTTCAGTCTTCACTAATGCTCTGCTGTACATTGAGTGAGCGCTTTGCCACTTGCAGCCTTTTTGTTATGCCCATGTTATGAATTCATCTAAATTGATCGGAGAATTCTCAAGAACAGAAATCTCTTTATGGCACTCTTTTCTGCTGTATTTAGTCTTTAACATGTGAGACACAGAATCATTTCTTCATTTTTTGATAAATATGATAGATGCCAAATATTCAAATCAACCATTCCAATTTGGTCATTTTAGTGTCCCAGAACTGGGAAAATATTGCCTGATTCATTGGACTGTGGAAACCCACGCCTGTCAAAGTCATTGCAATCCAATGAAATGATGGTTGGTGATGGAGACTTGGACCCCACATCATAAGGCTCATGTACTATTCTGGTCGGTCCAACTCTTTACATCACTGTCTAACATTCCATTGAATGGTGATGGCCCCAAAGGTTTTCAGTCTCATCAATGTTTGATTTCAGTATGCTTTTGCTTTATTGTATCCATAAGTTTGGAATGCAAAAGTTTCAGTGAAATGGGTTTTAAATGTACGCTAATTGTATTTTGGAGCAGCATATGAACGAGGAGAAGATCTTGAATTCCATAGACATACAGAAAGACGTTGATGGCTTTCACCCACTTAACATTGGAAACCTTGCTATGAAAGGCAGAGAACCACTGTTCCTCCCTTGCACCCCAAAAGGGTGTGTAGAGTTGTTAATTCGGTATGGCATTGAAATCTTGGGCAAGAGAGCAGTTGTTATAGGGAGAAGCAATGTTGTTGGTCTTCCAACTGCCTTGCTGTTACAGGTAGCTCCATTATCCGACCTCAGTTACACATGCTCATGCATGTGCTTGCTCATCTTCATTTCATGATCCCACTCACCCTAATTCCTATAACTGCACAAGCTTATCTTAATTTCATTTTTCATGGCCTTGCTCACGCACATGTGAATCCATGGATGTGCTTGTTTCGTGTCTTTCAAAAGTCATTCGGAATTGATTTTGATGTTTTGTATTTGCAGAGGCACCATGCTACTGTAAGCACGGTGCACCCTTACACACAAAACCCAGAGGAAATCACACGTGAAGCCGACATCGTGGTCTCAGCAGCAGGAGTGGCAAACTTGGTGCGTGGGTATTGGCTGAAACCCGGTGCTATTGTGATTGATGTAGGCACAAACCCTGTAGAGGTATGCCCCTAACTCCTCTCCCTTTTCCTATCTGAGAGATATAAGATCGTGATCTCTTGCTTTACCCTAAAGCAAGAAATTTATTTTCCCAATGATGAAAACTTCAACAGGGCATTTCTTTCCTTGTGAGTTGAGAGAGAGAGAGAGAGAGATTACAGATGGCTGATGTGTAGATATCATGCTTTAGCATCCATAGCTGATGGAAGTAGCCTGCTGCTGTGTACCTCTTGATCTCAACCATGAGCTTTATTTTTGGTTGAACTCACCAGCTAACAACTATACAGGATTGTGGACATGGCTGGAANATCATTCTTTTGATTTTTACTTATATTTGCATAGAAACAGACATGGATTCAATAGCATTCTCAAGTACTCTTAGTTGTTAACTCTTAGTTGTTAAACTTCTAAAAAGAACATTAATTGCAATGAAAACATAGAACTTGTCAAATCACAACCTTCTACATGCTACAGTTCCACTGCTTGCAGCAAGGAATTTTTGGAATTGGTTGCTAGTGACCCTAGCTCAGATGCAGACAATACCTGAGAAAAGCAAATGAGGGGAAAAAAGATTGTAACCCTACTTAACAAAATAGTTACATATGTTTCTTGAACTAACCATCAAAAAAAACAAAAAATCAATGTTTCTTGAACCATGGTTGACAGGATAGCTGCAGTGAAAGAGGGTACAGATTGATAGGAGATGTTTGCTACGAAGAAGCATCGCGGGTGGCCTCTGCCATAACCCCTGTTCCTGGAGGTGTTGGACCTATGACAGTTGCCATGCTTCTCTCTAACACTTTGGACTCTGCAAAACGCTACTATAGATTAAGATAACATCTCAGGTAAAGTCCAGGTGTCTCGCTTCTTCTTCTTCTTCTCCTTCCTTTTTTTTTTTTTTTTTTTTTTTTGGACCAATGAAGTCCAGTATGTTACGAGTGCCGGAGGCTGACAAGGACATTTTTTACAACCCAGAGCCTCCTTAAATGGTGATGTGATCATCATCCTTGATATCCCATTATCACTTTACCATTATCATAATTTCATGGCTTGTCTATGTGTATCCATCACGCCATTAGGCTTTGACCATGTTCTCTCAAATCTCTTCTCTCTACAGTCACGAATTTTGCAGTGGGAAAAAAAAGATTTAAATGTGTATAGGTCATCAGCTTTGTTTGCAAAGGGGAGATTTGCACCCTAGACCTCTTGCAAACTCGATTTATCTGTAAGGCCAAGCATTTGCTTTTGTCAATAATTTCATCAATGTAATGAACATTTGACAAAATCCTCGTGCTACCGCATGTGCAGGTTGGGAATTCAGAAACGATTAATAACTGCAAGATGATATGATGATATGATTTTTAAAGGTAATCCAAGAGGTGAGGATGGATTCCATAAATTTTAAAAACGATATTTGGCTCCTAAAATCCTTTTTAAAAATACCTTTGCATAAATACACCTTGCAATATTTAAAATGAACAGAGACACCATGAGTTTTGGTAAATAAAAAGACTATTTACCTTTGATATAAGGTGGTCACGATTAATCTTGAGGTGAAATTGGTTAAATGTATTTATTTTATTGATTAAGCACAAAGTTCAAAAGAAATTTTTTCAAACTTTATGACACCCAAGCCATTAAATTGCACCCAATTCATAAATAATTTTGACCGCCCTGGTATCACATTGTATACAATCCATTTATTTGCTCTCATTTTTTTTCCATCTATGTTATGACTTAATTGATTGGAGTGGTTCCATGGTCCACACTGTTTATGTAGACTTCGGATTAAAAAACCACTTATAAATTCTCTCCACAGACGGTACACACATCCTCCAAATACATTGCTTAAAATTTGGTAGAAAATTCAAAGGGACTCCGATCAAATGGATGCCCTTGATAACTTTTGGAGGATAGTTTTACTTGGCCACTTTCGAACACCAAATGAATGGAAGACAATTCTTTTAAATTTTTTGTTGGCCTCTGGGTGGTGAGATTGAATCTAAGCAATCTTTGGGTCCCACATGGCTGGACCACTCGGCATCGTGGAAATTTTTGTTGCCAAAAGTGTTTTTGGACACTGGATTTGAGGTGAAACTTTATTTTGTTTTCATAAAGCCTAAGCCTAATAGAAACCTCATCCTTGAAGTTAACGAAAATGGTTTTATAGGGTTGTATCCCTATCAAATAAGTAAAGCCTCAATTTATAATTCATCAAAATTTGCAATTCAAGCATTACAAAATCTTTACATCAATCACTTGGCTTGAACATTAAAGTTGTGAAAAAAACAATAAAAAAATCAACTCTAAAAATATAGTTATTATAATAAATGATCTAGATTGTCCATTTTACGTTAAAAATAAGTATTCATAGATCCACAAGATGTATATTATTTTTTGAGTTTTGAATTTTATTGTCGATGTTGAAAATTAATTTTAAAGCCATCATAGAGATTTATGTTGCCGAAAGTACTTTTTGGACGAAGATTTGAGGTGAGGCATTATTTTGTTCTCATAAAGCCTACGCCTTATATGAATATCATCCTTTCTTTAATTATATAAATATTTTTAATAGCCAACCGTATATGGATGAAATAAAGCATGAAATTGTTTTCCCAAAAACATTTTGGTTAAATGTAGGAATATTTTTACATCAATCAGTTGTCAATTGATATGAAAAGATGCACTAAAACCAATTGACACAAAAATATTCCCATATATAACCACATAAAATAATTTTTTCCTTGTGAAAACGTTTTCCTAAATACAAATTCACGTCGCCTTAAATATTTTTAAGTTCCCTCCCGTACATCTACATCAGCTCCTAATTGAAGTGTCCTGCAGATGTAATCTAAACGTTTTTTAAAAAAATTTTGTAACCCCAGAAGCGGTACAAACCCATGGTTTTGTAGATGGATGAGACAGCTGCAAAAGTTCTCTCATTATGTAGCTGAAATGTGAGACCTCATGAAAGTAGCCACATTCCCATAGTTTACAACAACAAATATAAGTTAAGAAGAAATTCCCATAGTTTACAACGACAAATATAAGTTAAGAAGAAATTGCGAGAGAGAGAGAGACAGAGAGAGGAGATGAAATGAAACAATGATACATGTCAAGGCAACCCCACTCAATTGCCATAAAAAATGACGAACCCTTTTCAGATAGATTATACCCACCAGTTCATGGAAGGCATTGATCAACTAGTGCAAAAGTTTCTTCAGTTCTCAGCAGTATCCACCTCCAACTGTGGAGGTTCTGCAACAGGAGGAATAGCATCCACTTTGTACCGCAAATTCTGCCAGTAAAACCTAGATGAGCATTATCTCTCTCTCTCTCTCTCTCTCTCTCTCTCTCTGCCAACTTGGCTCAAGCTCAACAAATGGACCACAATTAATGAAAAAAGGCTTTTTAATGAAGCAACATGCTCCAAGTTTGGAACTCGGAACAAGGGTCCTTACGTCATTATTTAGCTCTAGTGATTTAAGTTGATCAAATTACCAAAATGCCCCCACTTAGGATAATTTGGGTAATTCTTTAACAAAATTACTTATGGGTTCGATTTGTATAAAGCCGAAGCTCTAAGCAATCAAAACAAAGTGCACCATCAATAGTGTCGAGAAATAAGGTTTCAATACTGGAAATCTTTGTGGTAGTCTTAATATATTTTCATCTTTAATTATAAAATTTAAAGCTTCAAAAATAGTGTATATCGAGCATATCTATAAAAACTTGAAAATTGATGGTCCAAAAATGCATTACAAGATGCACTATTTCTAAAACTTAAAATCCATTTTTTTCTCATGTCCATGCATCTTGCTGTCGAGATGATCGATTTGAGGATATTTGGGCATCAATACAACTTCTTCTAGTGAAATTTTTGAGGTGGCCTCTAATTCGATTGTTTAGAGCCTCGGTTCTATAAATTTTTCTATTCCTAATATCAGTATGAAAATATCTTTAGAAAGTAACCGATAAATTGTTGATTTAACCACACCGTTGATTTTTTTAATCAGCTTGCTTCAAACTTTCTACCGCAAAACCAAAATGAATTGGTATCAAAATTTGGCCAAACCTTCCTGCATTTTCAATTTTCTGGAATAGAAATCCGAACTTCTGTAACCAATTCCAAGCGAGAAACTCGACATCAAAACCTTGATCATAAAAGTGGAGTTAACAGGCACCTCAGCAATGCAAATATGACTGAAGCAGGTTATTCGAGAGATGCTTTTACCTTCTTAAAAAATGTTGAATATGAATTGTCCCAAATGAGCTTGTAGGATCCCGCCTTGACTGTGCAGAAGTTCCCCTGGAATCCCAGCAAGACTTGTAACTCTTTGCTTTTTCTCTCTTTCATGGGTGTAACAGTTAATGGAACATAGAACTTGCCATATGTGAATGCATGGAATGGACAAGAAGAAGCTTACTTGGTCGGACTCATATCGCTGGTAGGGCAGGATAAGCTGCAGGCAGAAATTGTTTGTTAAGGCGATTGAGAGAGAAATAAGAACAGTGACAATGAGTATCGATTGAACAAAACAAAAAATAACGTGGCAATGAATGATAGGTCCACTCAATCTTGTACTAATGCTTATTAATGGATATAGCTCCCAATGTCCTACTACTATACACAACTATGATCACAAATTCCTTCATGCATGGAACCATATTTCCATGGTTAATCAATGACAAATTTAGAAAGGATACTTGTTAAATTTAACATAAAATTTATGCTAAAAAGAAGTTTTTTCCCTGACATTTTGTTCCAGATATTAAATAGCAAAACAACCAAACAACAAACACCCATCTTTTGCCCTACTTGTACTCTCTTTTAATGTTTGAATTCAGCATCTCATCTTATAATGTTTGAATTCAGCTTTTCATCCAGAATACATTCTTTGGAAAACCTTTTGTCCGTCTTTTGAAAAAGTGCGTCTGTCTAGCCAAAAACCTTCCCAATTTATTCCCAAAAAGTTAACCCACAATGGAACACCTTCCCGTAAACAAGAATCTACCAAAGAATCTCAAACACATAAGTAGTGACCATGACAAGAATATCTAATATGCTGGGTCTTCTGACATTTGAGAGGAACAGGAATATAGAGGAAAGGGTATGAGAGAGTTCCATAAGATAAAAAAACAAGGTAACATACTGTAGTTATTCCCGAAGGGCTTATGTACTCCACACTAAAACCAATATCCTGCAAAGAGAGAAAGAACACCAAAATCATCAAAGACATACTCAATAGTTGATATTTTGAGCTTGACCCACTAACTTAGTAAGTTGTCGACAAAAACCAAAGACGAACTAAATTAATTAATCGTTTTTCCCGTTATTACTATATATATATATATATATATATAT